GTATACATGTACCAGGTTCTAAGATGTGTTTGACTGACTGGAATTACAGATGTATAGATGTAAAAATGAGCTTACACTTTCTGCAGATTAGGAATTGATGTTTTTAGTGTGCATTAGGATCGCAAAATGTAGATCTAAGACTATCTGTTATTTGTTTGGGTCATCCTACACGGTTTTCCGAGACACTGAATCATATAATACTAGCTGATAGAAATACGTTGGTCAACAATAATAAATATAACATTTATCTAAATTCGAATTCGTTTTATGGTTATATAGTATGAAAGTTTAGTTTTTTACGTAAACAGTATCTCTTATCAATTGATCTAAAACAAAGAAAAACATTATATTCGGTAAAAATTACATGAACTTGCTTGAATTTTCTCTCGTTCAACTTTAATCATGGAATAGATTTTACTTTAAATTCTTTAATCATTTACCTGATCATGACATCTTTATGTAGACTTTTTCACAGTTTAAGAAACACGTTATTTTTGAAGTTTGATCATTATATCTTGCATACTAATGAAATTTTATTGACTGCTTATGAAACCTAGTGGTGATCAATGTGTTTATTTATGGTAGTTACAATGTACTCTCATTTTTTATGACTTTCTTATAACACTTGAAAAAATAATTAGTTTAAGGTAGTGAACTTTTTGAATAAGTGTAATCATGTCTATTAGATATGTAGATTAGAGTTTGCTTATGTTTGATTGTCATCGTAAAAATGCGAATTCATTGATTGACAATAGATTTCGACACTTGAGCATAAGTAATCTTCAGAATAATTAGCGAATTATTTATGGGCCAACAAAGTAGTCAAGAGTGATTGCTTTCTTGATACTCTTAAACATCACACATTATACTACTTGTTGTTTGTGCTTTAAAGTAGTAGCTCATTGAGAAAAAATAATGATACTAATAGTGTTAATGCTAATATCTTCTTAATCCGGTTGGAAAATAAAAGCTATGTGTTTAACGCCGTTAGTAAACAGTCTCTTAGTGAAACAATCTTTTGTCTGTAGTATTGGATTTTTCTTATAAATGGCTAGTTTCATTAAAAATAACTCAGTCAATCACAATATAGGACCTGGTACGTATGCACATCGGTTAAATTCGCCATACTCAATTAACACAGAGAGTTGAAATTATTAGGGCGTATTCAACAGTAGTCTAGATAGCAACAGTATCAGTGATAATAGAAAAGATCATGTGCCGAACATGAGATTCAAGAAAATATAAATTAATGATATCAAAAGATTATAAGGACTTCAGAAGCTTGGAATTTGGGAGAAGACAAAGGGTGAATGCACTTACTCCACTACAGACGGTTTTGAGCCGTGTCCTTAAAAGTTCCTAACCAATGGTTATGATAATCACATAAACCCCAACCAGATAGTATACACTTGTTAGTATGGCTCAGTCGAAATATCAATCACTTCATAGATTGATCCCATGTTTTAGTTTGGGTCCCCCTAGCTTTCTTACAATCCACTCCTATACCATACAACATCACTCGTCCATGTAGACAGAGGTTGAACACACTTATCACATGTTTCAATAACCACAGTTCATGGAGATTTACTACTTTATCAATCGATTTGCTATCTTTACCCGGTACCATTTTCCTGACCTAGACATTGCTCACTCTGTGGCCATAAAATACACGAGCAATGCCTCGAAGAAACTTACGATCGAATACTAGTAACTTATAAGTATCCTCAATTCTTAATGGCCATTTTTCACACATATAAAACAGCATGGAGCGAACTGTCGAGAATTAAACTGGTCCCTTGATTAGCAGACGGACATCTTACCTACATCGAACGTGATGCAAGTTGGCGAAAGCCAACCGAGCTCTCTGAATTTGTTCTGAGATTTCACCAGACTGTGGGTATTGACGAAGCTCTCAAGATAAGTGAGTTGGTTGATTCGTTCAACTGATTCACTCTCGTTAATTCAAGGCTGGTGAAGCCCAATCCTGAGGCAGTACTTTGCATTTGGAGGGAGAGAACATCATCCCAAACATGCCTACATTGTTTCTGAATATGGCTAGAAGACTCTGGATTTTGTCAATGTTTTCAATTCATGGATTGAGAGAGGTGCAAATTATTTTTAAAAATCTGTCAAAAACTACTTATCGTATATCCATCAGTTATTGGTTATGTAATGGGATTTTAACACATTATATGAGGAGAAAATCAGTGATAACATGATGAGATAATCTATTCGTTAACAGCTCTTCTACAGAAAGTGCGTCCGAAATATGTTGTAGTACTAAACGGAGATTTGATAGCTCAGGTCGAGCGTCCGGGCACGGAACAGGGTCGTTTAGTGGCCGATGGGGACTTGTTGGTCTGAGGTCGGATAACGGGGACCATCTACTGTAACTGTACTCAGACCACAACCTGTTTTTGGCTAGCGCTAATCACCGGCACAGTCATCGCTGATGTGCCACCTGGCACCCTCCATCTGCATCTCTAACGTGGACTGAGATTGATCATATCGCGATCAGCTACCGCTGGCGTGGTTGTGTAAAAGACCGCTGCTTCTTTTTGAGTACCTATCTAAATTCTGAACATGTCCTTATTCGCTCTAAGCTTACCTGACGTCTCAGTGGCCAATAAAGTCATCGTAGGTTGTTCAAAACTTGAGAAAGATTAACTCGCGAAGAGCAGGCTGGTTTTCGTTCCCATCGAGGATGTATTGATCATCAACCCTCTCCAAATGTTAGAACACTGTCATACTTATCATAGGCCAACAATCGTAGTGTTTCTTGATATCAGGACTGCCTTCGATTCGTTGGACAGAACTGTTCTCTGAGATTGTCTATTGAGGAAGGGTGCGCCTGAGAATTTTATTAACATCTTAAAGGCCCTAAATACAAACACATCAGGAAGATTGAGGGCATACAACCACCTCTCCAAATTATTCCATTCAAAAAGAGGGGTTAGACAGAGTTGCCTAATCTCACCATTCCTCTTCAACTTTGCCATCGATGGCGCTCTGGAAACAGCTCTGATGGATGCAAGTAATGATGGTGTGGATCTGCTGTTTAGAGAAAGACTTCTCGACTTTGAGTATGCGGATGATATTGTATTACTGTGCGATAATACTCAAGCCATGAAATCCGCACTTAGTCAGTTGACAATTAGTGTCCGTAGGTATGGTATGTGCTTCGCACCTTCGAAGTGCAAAGTACTTTTACAAGACTGGCAAGACTCCGATCCTGTACTCACTCTGGGTAGTGGGCAGATAGAAGTAGTCGAGAAGTTCGTATATCTGGGTAGCTGAGTAAGTGCTGGTGGTGGCATGAGTGGTGGGATCGATTAATGTATGGTGAAAGCCAGAGCGGCTTATGTCAATCTGGGCCATATTTGGCGCCTTGATTTTAGTCTGGCTGTGAAGGGTCGGATCCACAACGCGTCGGTGGGAGCAGTCTTACTCTATGCTTGTGAGACCTGGCCTCTCCGAGAAGAGGATGCTAGACGAATCTTTGTGTTTGATTATCGTTGTCTCCGAAGGATTGCTGACATCCAGTAGCAACATCATGTTAACAATGCAGAGGTTCAATATCGTGTGTTCGGGCACAGTGTTGATAATTTAATTTGTCTCACTTTCATGAAACATAGACTTCGGCAGCTCGTACATGTCTTACCAACGAATTCCACATCATGCATTATTTGCCGACGCTGGGACTGGTTGGAAAGCGCGGACAAGTGGTCTATGTTTGACATGGTGTCGTGGTATAGAAGAAAGCTGTACAGGACTGGCTTCTGTCGGTACTTCGCGACTCCCTGGTTGGGGCCCTAGAGATGGTGCAACGCAGGGGCTAGAGACGTTATCAAATATGGCTCAGAACAGAAGCTAGTGGTAATCCTGTTGTAACTTTTTTCGACTTGGTTCATGAAAGTGAAAGCAACTCCTTTAACTGGAATAATTCTTTCTGGTTGTACCTTTTCTAACTGGATTGCTCCTCCCATTGTTATTATTTCACTATCATACACTAATTTCTGTTCGTTATTGTTCCCCTTTTTCTTATACACACCTTACCTTCTTTTTCTCATCACATTCTGATTGTCATTGTGTGTTGCATATGTATCTGGTGCCTCTTTGTACCAATATTTGTGTGTTCAAATAAATAAACAATCGTTCGGTTACATTTCATTGATCAGTGGCTTGGTTGAGCAAAATAAACAAAAGTTTCTATTTTGACTTCAAGAAGAAAGACTAATAAATTGAAAAAATCTTTCTCTGCGATTAGTTTTTCATCAGGGCTCTACACTACATGACGGAATAGATCTACACTGTCTCGTGAATTCTAACCACTAAACAATATATGAAACGTGAACTAATGGAAAATGTTGTAAGATTCCTATTGGAGTTTTGTAATAATTTTCATTTTTAAATCCTACTTAGTCTTATACTGAACATTCAATAAGTATACATAAGCTATAAGTGTGTAATTTATGCATTAACCATCTAGAAATGCGTAATATCATGATTGTATTTGTTGAGCAAACCTACTTTTTTCCACTTATGATACATTAAGGATAGTCTCAACGTATGAGGACATCTCTTCGAATGGATCAATATTTATCTATCTGACAGATTTATATAAATGTATCAGTCGGATATTTTTGATATATTTACACTTTCTACTGTTTATGACTAGCAGTTTTACTATCTTATTGGACAGGTAAGAGTCCGTCAATATTGACTGAAGACCACCATGGAATAGGACTTCAATAAACAGAAATATAGTTGAACACCTTGATCATTAAAAATTTTAAGATAATCATCCTCGTAATTCTAAATATTTGACATATAGTTAGCTATGCAATAAGAAAAATATGCCTTTTTCTTTATTTAACAGAGATTATTCAGTGTTCATTCGACAATATATTACAAACATTTCTAGTCGTTAAATACTAAAAGGAGATTCTCCCTAAATAATTCACAATTTTTGTTGTAAATTAATGAATTTTATTTTACAGACTATTACAGTTCCTGAGATTGGGTCAAAAGAGACAAACGATAATGATACCAATATGTCTAATAGTGATTACGAAAATAGTAATATTAATAATAATAATACTAACAATAATCAATCAAGTTCTGCAACAAAACCCAAACCTGTTTGTGGCATTGGTTTAGGCAATATCTTCAGTGGTCAACCTATTCAATTAAAACAAACCGCTTTGAAAGAAGTGGTCAATAAGGAAGTAAGTAATGACGTTTTTACTAAGTTGTATCAAAATGGCTTGTATTTCAACTGTGCAATGATTGTAGTTGATTACCTTGATACTGAAATGCTTATCGCTGTTTGGTAGTGGAATGAAATTGATCCCTTAATCTAAAGAAAGCAATACTTAGGTTATACTAATGGTAGTTTATCTAGTGATAAGAAGATCGAGCTTGAATGTCAGTGCTGTTACACATATGAGGGTGGTTGTCTCTTGTCATGGTATGATAGTTCTTCTTGAAGGACGTGACGAATAAACTCGAGAGGAGGTGATCTTAATGACCTGGTAGCGTAAGTGCTAATGGCTTGAAGGTCGTCATTTATTACCTTTTATTATGTTACTACCGGCAGCGGAAATTCATGGGGTAAGGTGAGTTGTACTACTTATAATTTCTACTTTTTCTAAACCCCTTCATCTGTTGTGAGATTTTAGTCTAATTAAAGATTCTGGTTTTCTGAAGGAAAACTCGAAACTCCAATGCATTTGGCAGTGCAACTTCTCTCTGGGCCCATGAGTTTTTTAATTATTTTCTTGTATTCCACTCAACCTGTCTAGCATTATAGGGCCTATAGGAGTGATTACTCTAAGAAGTTTAGCTTGATTAGATCATCAAGAAGTAGAAAACTGACTTTCATATCCAATTAGAAACCCCGATAAGCGAAAATAAAGAAGTAAATTAGGTGCATATATTCACTGACTCATTATAATCGATTTAGTCACATTATCCCTTCTGGTGGTTTTGTAGAGGTACGTCTGACTGTGACATCGTATGATACAGTATTTGAGTATCTGTGGAAGCCTCATGTTTGTTACCAGTTCAGATGAGACTTCATTACGAGTCGCAAGAAATAAGTCAATCCAAGTTAAAGGCCTCCTACATACTACCTTGAATCATCGAACATTTTATACAAAGTCGTAATGTGATTATTTATTCGCGACCCAATGGTAGTACACAACTCGACTTCCGAATCGTTAATATGTTTCTATTAACAAATAATTGTAGAGTTAAATTCATCCCTATTCGGACTATAATTGAACTGAAATACATACTTTTTTATATAACGTTAAATGCACAATTTTATATGTGAACCATAATTTAGTCTTCATACTTTTATTATTATTATTATTATTAATGGCTTTATTCTATATTATAATCTGGTACAATAAAGAATTCTCAGCACGAGTTATTTCAACAAGTTTTTCCCAAAAAATAAAACCAAAAAAAAAAAAACAACAACAAAAAACAGAAATAAAATATAAAAAAGGTTTAAGAAAATCTGAGTTTATACAAATTATCGAATATGAGACATGTTTAAGAAGACAGGTTATTTACTAGGTCAACTCTAACAGCCTGTTCGTCACAAAGTAAATTAGCTAAGTAAGGTATTACAGAACTTTTATAGATTTGCTTGCGTGCATAAATTTTAATGTATTTACGTCTCGTTCTACCAGAAGATATACAAGGAGAAAGATATGAATGAAGCGGATGGTTAGTATCTGATAAGATAACACCTGCAAAGAGTTTGCAAGACTTAAGATGTCTATCCACAAGCATATTAACAATGACTTCAAAAGATTCACCACATACCTTGCAAATTGCCTTCAACACTCTACGCAAAATAGCAAAGTCTTTTCTCAAAAGCCCAGGAAAGAATAATGGAGAACAATATAAAATAATAGGTAATATGCAGGAGTTTACAAATTGTAAGAGTAAATGGCGAGTAATCCCAAAAGCATGCAGCCTCTTTATGTAATATGTCAAACGGTAAACTTTTTTCGATAACAGCAAAACATGAGAAGACCAAGAAAGATCAGAGGAAAAAAGGACACCAAGATATTTGACCTTCGACACTGTGTTTATTAAGGAGTCTCCAATGGCACAAGCATTATGGGATCCCAAAATAGAGCGTAGGTTCTGTCCATGTCTCAAGCTAAAATTAACAGCTTGACATTTAGATGGATTGAGTAAGAGACCATTACCAACAGACCACCTTTCAATACGAGATAAAAACTCATTCATTTCTATAGGATGTAAGGAGGTAGAAATTGGCATACATACGGTGAGGTCGTCCGCATATTTTACAAAGGTGTTTTCTGTGGAAGATGGCAGATCATGCAAAAAGAAAGAGAAGAGTAGAGGTGAGAGAACAGCTCCTTGTGGCACACCTACAGTAGACAGTAGAGATGTTGAACACTTTCCTTCAAAGACAGTGTACTGTTCTCTTCCAGAAAGGTAGGAACATAGCCAATTGGTTATCCAGCTGTCAGTATCGACGCTGATCAGCTTGTTAAGTAAGGTGTGTCTTGGAATAGAATCAAAGGCAGAAGTAAAGTCCAGGAAAGCGCATCTAACATACTTCTTACCCTTTTCCAACCCGAACACTATATTGTGATGCAGAACAGCAACGGCATCTAATGTGCTTCTTTTGCATTTGTAAGCAAACTGATATGGATCACAGTGCTCTTTTATTACAGGTTGAAGTGGTTGTATCAGTAATTTTTCCATTATTTTGAGGAAAGGTGAGGTTATTGCTATGGGTCTAAGTTTCGCATTTTTATCACCAGAAGCCTTCTTAGGTATAGGGATTACCTTTATCTTTCTCCACATTTTCGGTAAGACATTAGTTGAGAAGGATCTGTTAAAGATATTCATTAATGGATAACATAAAACATCGGCACATTTTTTAAAAAGGAGGTTTGGGATACCATCAGGTCCTAAACATTGGGATGAATTCAGAGACTGGAGACATTTCCGGACATCATTTTCAGTAAAACTGAGGACACAATTATTCTTCAAACCCTTGGATATAGGGAGCATGATGGCAGATGACTGTTGAATAAAGGACTTATTTAAGTCACAAACATTTAGCTGGTTATCGCTTCTAGTCTGCCTGTCCCCTGTAATTTCTTTAAAGATTTTCCACATACTTGGAGAGCTTCTACAAGATAGGAGTTTTTGAGTGAACACACAGTTGAGACGTCTAATCTCTTGGTTTATTTGATCATTTAACTTACGAACTTCAATAGCGTTTTTCTCCTTGTACATCCTTTCTTTTACCCTCCGTAGTCGTTTTAGTTGTGGAGATGTAAGTCGATCAAAACTTAAAAAGAAGGTTTCGGTAGGACAGCAAATATCAAAACAAAATTTAAGATAAGAGGTGATAACATCCGTTGTGTTTTCTATTGAATCATCTGTAAATAATTCCCAGTTGGTCGTACGAAACATGTTTTTTAGATTTTGTAAATTTTCTTCTGAGTAATTCCTATATATTACTTTTTTGGTATGGTGTATGTGTGTACTCTTTCCATGTTTACCATATATTTTAGGTAAGACACGAATTATACAGTGATCCGAACTAGACAATGGAGCACGTTTGCGAGTCACATAGGCACCCACATCATTAATGAAAACCAAGTCTAGATGAGCATTCAAACGAGTAGGAAAATCTACTACATTTAGGTGACCTAGTGATGTAAGGAAGCTAAAGTCACATGAATTGAAATCACCACATACAATTGAAAGTGAATCACTGAAGGCAGTAACGGCGAATTCAGTAAATTTATCAGTGAAGACAGATAGCGCAGATGATGTGCAGTCTGGAGTCATGTAGATATTGGTAACATAAATATATTTGTATTTATTCAGGTGTTTTGGACGGCACCTTAAAGTAAGACAGTCAATAAAGTCGTTTGAAAACTTGAAACAGGCAAAAGTAGATCTACACCAGTTAACGTTTACAATAGTAGCTACTCCGCCACCACAAGTCTTTTTATTGTTTGATCGATCCTGACGATAGATATTAAAATCACGTAATGACACTAAGCAATCATCCTGTAAGTCAGTTAACCAAGATTCTTGAATTGTGATGACACCACAATTACGATACATATTTTGACTTAGCAGAAATCGGAGATAGTCCACCTTGTTAATTAGTGATCGACAGTTAGAGTTAAGTAGCTCGGGAATCGACATTTGATTGATGTTTATTCTCTTTAAAGCATATTGCCAACCACCACGATGTCTCTTATTGTGCTTGTTTGTAATTTTTGCAGCGAAAGGACGTAAGCATTTTATAAACGCGCCTGTGTAGGTTATGCGATTAATAGACATAATGATAGGTTAAAACAAATTAAAAAAACACTCAGATAACTTGTTGAAATATTTAGATGGCAGAAACAGGTAGCCCAGGTATTCAAGCAGGCCGCCATACGTACTTCCAAATCTGACTGTTATTGGTTTCTTTAATAAAGCTTATAATCAATTCATAGAATGAAAAATATGCATGATTTTCTTGTTAATGAGACATTACATCTTAATATTTTCTTTTTAATGACGTGTTCATCTCCTTTCATATAATTTTGTCTTACATTAAGCATAATGTTTTCCAATCAGTATTACATCACTTAACTGTCAACATGTAATAACATGTTTCTGTACCAATCATAGGAGTGATATAATTATTATGAGTAGTCACGTGTTCAGAATAAAGTTTATCAAAGATTACGAATAGTTGTACACACTGTCATTTACAATTCATATACAGAGATGAATACAATGTGAAGGTGTATGCTCCATTGTATATTTATTACATTTAATTTGTTTGATCAATTTATGTCGTGACAATTCATTCATTAGCTTATCACATCACACAATTAATTATTTCTTTTCTTGAAATAATCTACCTAACAAAGTTTTATTTTTGCATGTGATTTTAGCAATTTCTTTATTGTCAGCTATTATTAAATTAAGCTTTAATTTTCAAAGACTCATTTCTAAACTAATGTAATCAGTCTTCATATGAGCAGTTACTCAATATATGCTAGTTTCATTTTTATTTAAAAAATAATATGTGAAAAATATGATTGTTATTGTAAATCCATACTTTACACGATTCTTTTAAATTTATGCAAATTCAACTAAATAAGCTTTTCAAGTACATTTAAACTACTTATTTCTTTTAGTAGTACATTTAAACTCC